CCGCTGCCATCGCTTCGCGCTCAGCCATCTGGGGGCCCATCTGGGCCCGCACCAAAGGTCACTCCGGCGAAAGGTCACTCTTGCGTGTAGTCGAAACTGGGGAGTGAGGAAAAAGGACCCTGGAGGCGCCCGTTCGGGCCCCCCGTGGGCCCCTGCTGGCTCCAGAAGGGGCCCGAAAAAGGGCCCCCTTCCGGGCCCTCTCCTGGGAGGCACAGAGGACATACTAGTACTGTATGTGCTCCTTGGGAGGCGCGCGTCCGGCCCGAACACATGGTATACCCATCTTGAAGTATGCCGCTTCCCGAGCGGCGTGGCCAGAAAGAACCCGCCACGACGCGTGTGCTGTAAGACTTCTCGGCGCGCGCGTCGCCCACTCGGGGGCGACGCACATATAGTATACAAATATGCTGGGGTGACGCCGAATTTTTGTTCACCCCCAAATGTGGGCCATCCCGCAATACCACCCGCCCGAGCCATCCCGTGAAAGGCAGAGGGTCTGAGCATCTTCCCTGCCACAAGATTCGGGAGAAGCTACAGTCGGGCCGCTGAAAGAAGGAGCGCTAGATAAGGAATGAAGCCCCTTCTTGGCCCTGTGAGCGCCTCCGTGCCCCAGGAGGGCAAGAGGAACAGCACTGGAGAACCTAAGGAACACCAAGCCCCTTCCGAACCAAGACTGATCCTTATTTCAGTGTCTTGACTGTAGGTCCAGAAGGAATAAGCCCAGACGGAGCCCGAGCACTCCATGCGCACTTGCTCCGCACGGACTTGGCATCCCACCAAGAGGGGCTACGTCCAGACGGCGCAAGCCCAGACGGAAGCCGAGCACTCCGTACGGACCTGCTCCGTGTGGACTCAGCATCCTCCGAAAGACGGACACGGTTCAGATCCAGGCCCACTACATCCCCTGGCCTGTAGCTTGCAGCACAGTGTACGGTGAGGTCTGCTGTGTGCGGGCCTGCCTTCTGCCCCTGGAGCCTTTGGAGAGGAAGTCCACGGGCCTTATGTTGGTTCAGCTCAGTGATCGGAGCCGAGAGCGTCACCACGGCGACTGGGGTCACGATTACTGAACTGGAGGATTTCAGTGGAGGCCACGCAGCTCAGTAAGTAATCCTGACCTCCCCAGTCCGCGCTGTGCTTCTCAGGGGCCCGATCATCGAACCGAAGTAACTCAGGGTGCGCAAGGAGGCAGGGAAGCAGGAAGATAAGGAGGAGTGGACCAGGGAGCAAGGGCAACGAGCTCGTCCTCTGCCGTATTCCTGTCCCCCCTCTCCTCAGAGGTCGCATTTCTTTCGCGGCGTTGGCCCACAAGGATCCTGAGTCGTTTGTGTGACGGCCCCAGGGCTGGGATACGGCGGCCGAAAATGTCGAAACCCTGGCGATCATGAGTGACTTTTGTTGTTCCACGCCCGGATCCGAAGGGTCGTCCTCAAAGGTCGTCCCCTGGGACTCCTCAGGGGTGCGTCCTGGCCTGGTCATACTCAGGACGGACAAGAACTGATGGTGGTCATCGTCTCCCTTCTTTCCGTAACCATCGCGATCGCACCGACGCTCAATCCTCGATCCTCCTCGAAGTTCGATCGTCCAATCTCGAAGGCATTCGAGCCTCGATCCTTCGGGGGCGACCACGAGGGGGGCGTCCAAGAGGGGGCTTCGCAATTTATGGCCCGAGACACGCTTGCGGCCCAGGGAGGGACCTGGCGACGTGTTTAAAGAAGAAGAGAGGGGCCATGCCATCGGGGCAAATACCGTAACCCTGGTTCCCCCAGTCCGCACCCCCCCCCCAGACCCCCGACATCGTGATTACTGCCACAACGCGGATCTCCAAAGGCATCCTCGACCCAGTCCCCCAAACTGGCTTTTCATCCCGAGTCGCTCTGCTGACAACCCTGGGGCTGGCGAGGGCCCCCAGAGACCGAGATGCATGTTGCTCCAATCGCACATACGGACCACATCTCGGAGATAGTTTCGAGCACCCAGAAGAAGTGTCGAAGCAGTGTCGAGCGAGTGTATCGCCACCCAGGGCCGACGCGTGAAAAACCCTCCGGCTTCGGTACCCTCCCAGTGCTCGAAGGTCTTCCTGGTGATCCAGGCTAGAGTAGACTGGAACATCATAAGCCGAGATGTTCGCTCTAGGGGGCCACTTGCGATGCGGGCACGGCCGCAAGAAACCCTCGCAAGAAACCCAACCCTGCAAACCCGCGCGCGAAGTGCACCAGAGGGGAAACCTGGAGCACCCTGAGCGCAGCAGCTCCTTCAACGGCCGCGGGAGGTCGCCGCGCAACGCGCGGAGCGAAGAAGCCCAGGATACCCTGACGAAATGTATACGGTCTCTTGATGCACGCCCACACTGTATCGTTCGCGACCCGAGGAAGCCTGGCCCCTGGACGCCCCTGAGATCCTCGACCCTGCCCGGGGGCCCGCCGCTGGCGGGGGCCCCGCCGCGCTCGGCTCGGCACGGCCCTCCACCCTCCAGGGGGGGGGCGCCGCGGCGGCGTCCCGCCTTCTTCTCCCTCTCCCTCAGCGCCGTCTTCTCCGCGATTACCTCGGGGAGGAGGAGGAGGACGAGGAGGAGGACGAGGAGGAGGAGGACGAGGCGGAGGGAGGAGGAGGGGGGGGGAGGAGGAGGAGGAGGGAGGAGGAGGAGGAGGAGGAGGAGGAGGGAGGAGGGAGGAGGAGGAGAGGAGAGGAGGCGGAGGAGGAGGAGGAGGAGGAGGAGGAGGAGGAAACAGTGATGGGGGGGGAGAAGGAGGAGGAGGAGGAGGAGGAGGAGGAGGAGGAGGAGGAGGCGGAGGCGGAGGCGGAGGCGGAGGCGGAGGCGGAGGCGGAGGCGGAGGACGGGGAGGGAGGAGGAGGAAGAAGACGAGGAAGACGAGGAAAACGAGGAGGTGGAGGAAGAAGACGATGAGAAAGACGAGGAGAAAAACGAGGAGGCTGAAGAGAAGGAGGAGGAGGAGGAGGAAGAAGAAGAAGAAGAAGAATACTATGACTAAGAAGAAGAAGAAGAAGAAGAAGAGGGTGAGGGAGAGGGTTCGCGGTCGGGTCACGGTGTGCGCTTCGCAGGAATGAAGGGAAAGTGGAGGGGAAAGGGGGAGGAGGAAGATTTTGTTTTGCTGTGGACCGCTGCAGCGCACGGCTTCGCAGGGAGGCGCCCGAAGGAGAGGAGGAGGAAGAGGAGGAGGAGGAGGTGGACGAGAGAGGACGAGGATGAGGATGAGAACGAGGAGGGTCGACGACGAGGTTTGCGGGGGAAGGGGGAGGGGGAGGGGGAGAAGGAGAAGGTAAGATGAGACACAACCCCTCAGGGGCTCCAAAAACTGAGGACCACACGGCCAGCCACAGCCACCAGTTGGCAACGCCGCAGGTCAAAAGCCTGCGCGTCGTCATCAGGAGTTCGAGGACAAGGCGGAGGACGACGATGACGTTCGAGGCAGAGGATGTTCGAGGATCGAGGGTCGAGAACGAGGAGGAGGACGAGGAGGACGAAGAGAGGGAGGGAGGACGACGAGGAGGGCGAGGAGGAGGACAAGGAGGGCGAGGAGGAGGACGAGGAGGATCGACGACGAGGTTCGAGGAGTTTCGAGGAGGATGTCCGAGGATCGGAAGCCGAGGTTGGGAGGCGATTGGGGCCTCCGGAAACATGTGGGCACCTCCAGAAGTCACCGATGACCTCTGGGACCTCCAAGGAGTCCTCCGTCTGGGAGGGGGACGAGGACGAGGACGACGGCGAGGAGAGGAGCAGGGGGAGGTTATCGCAAGAAAGTGTGTGATAGGCATCCCGGGGTGAATGAACGACGCTCGAGAAGATGGAAGTTCGAGAACTGAGGATCGACGACTTGGGGCGTTTGCGCTTGTCGCCGTCCGAAACCTCTGGAATCAACGAAAGACTCCTGGGGCCTCCGGACAGAAACAGGAGGAGGAGGAGGACGACAACGAAGACGAGGCAGACGAGGAGGAGAAGATTCGAGGATCAAGGCTCTGGGGCGTTTGCGGGCCTCTTTGGGCATTTTGGTATATTTGGAGGCCTCCGTGCACCCCCAGGGACATCTGGAGATCTCAAGAGGCATCTAGGAAAGAGAGAGGCGGAGGGGAAGAAGGAGGGAGGGAGGAGGGGAGGGAGGAGGAAGAAGAAGAGGTCCAAGGATCGAGAATCGATGATTGGGGGCGTGTTGAGCCTCGTGGAGACTGTGGAAGCCTCAAGAGGGCTCCAAAGATCTCCGGGGTCCTCAGCGGAGGCCTGTGGGAACCCCTGGAGGCCCCTGGGAAGAGAAAAGGGAAGATAGAAGACGAAACACACGCATAAGCATTAACTTTCGAGGGTCAACGCGGATTCCTTGGATCGGCGGAGAGCGCCGGGGACGGCTCTGGAGGTGCCGCCAGGGGCCCCGCGCATCCAAGAAATCCGCGCTGAGCTTCGAAAGTTTACGCTTGGAATCGATTTCGGGGGGGAGACGTTGGACTCGAGTTCGGGGAACTCGAGCTGGACTGACGGGGTCGTCGGAAAAACGACGAGACTCAATCTGAAATTTGACGTCAGCTCATGCTGCAAACATCTCTCACGCAGACTGGACCGTCAAAATTCCACGACAGAACCGTCAAAAAAGCGGCGGCTAACCCGAGTTACGGCAGACCTGAATCTTGAGTTTCCCCGATCTTCGAGAGGAGGACACAAACACGGCCACCCCACCGCAGGATCAATCATCGAATCGGGAAATTGGATCGAATCGAAATGTTCGTCGGATCGGGCTGCAGCCACAGGGAATCTGGACCGACTAGGATCGGCTGCACCAAAAGGCGCAACAGCGCCACGCAGACATCGGACCGCATCGTATCGATGCAACATCGAAGTCGAATCGGATCGAACGGGCCGAAATCGATATCCAGGGGCCCGGGAAGCACCAACACCAAGACAAAGAATCGCATCCACCCACCGGGGGAAGATGATCCTGGATGTTAGTGCTGGTGGGCGCTTGCTTCGCAGATGCTTGCTTCGAGCAAACTCCTGGACACGTTGGAACCAACACCCCAACACCTAAAATTAAGTCGGGCCTGTCCTCCTACAGAGGGATTTTGGACGAAAAATAAAAATGATTAACAAATACCCCAAAATGATCAAAAAAATACTCAAAAAATGTCCCCTGACGATGTTTTGATTATTTTTTGAATATTCCCCCCTGGCTCCAGAACCCTACCCCCAATCCTACCGCCCTAGCCCCGACGCTAATACCCTAACCCAAACACCCTAAACCTGACACCCTGAGCCTAACACCCAGACCCGAACACCCTAACTCTAACAACCTAACACCCGAATCGTAACACCCTAACCCTAACACCCTAAACCGAACCCTACCGCCCTGAACCTTAAGCCCTAACACTAAGATCCTAACCCGAACCCTACCGCCTTAACCCTAACACTCGACCCCTAACACCCTACCCCAACCCATCCTGGCCCGAAGACTTATACCCTAACACCCGAATTCGAACCCGAACACCCTAACCCTAACACCCTGGCCCTAACACCCCAACCCAACCCTCCTAAGCCTAGCACCCTGACCATAACACCTTAAGCCAAACACCCTAAGCCTAACACCCTAACCTTAACCCCCTGACCCTAACACCCTAAGCCTACCACCCTAACACCTGGAATAAAACCCCTAAACTCTCACCCCTAAGCCTCAAGCTATAAGCCCGCCCCAAGCCCAAGCACTTAAGCCTTAAGCCCTAAGCTGTAAGCCATAAGCAATAAACCCTTACACCGTTATCCCAGGCCTTAACCCCTAAGCCCGAGGCCCCAAAGCCTTCAGGCTTAAGCCCAAAGCCCTAAGCTCTAAGCCCTAAGGTTTAAGCCTTTGTCTCGGCTAGGTGCGCGTACTCCCCAACTCCGCCGTGCTTCCGAGGAGCCCGCGAAAGTGGCGACGGTTGCGCAGTTCGCAGCCCCCAAGGGAGCTGCGAGGTCCTGGCTGGGTGCGCGTACTTCCCTCTGGCTCCCAGGAGCCCACGAAAATGGCGACGGTTGCGCAATTCGCAACCACCCAGGGAGCCGCGAGGTCCCGGCTGGGTGCGCGTACTCTGCTACTGCGCACTGCCTCCCAGGATTCCACGAACGTGGCGACTGTTGCGCAGTTCGTAGCCACCCAGGGAGCTGCGAGGTCATGGCTGGGTGCGCGCACTCCCCTGTTCCGGCGTGCCTCCCAGTAGCCCACGAAAGTGGCAACAATAGCGCAATTCGCCACCACCCAGGGAGCTGCGAAGTCTCGGCTTGGCGTGCGTACGCCGCTATTCCGCTGGACCTCCCAGGAGCCCACGAAAGTGGCGGCAATTGCACAATTCGCTGTCCCCAAGGGAGCTGCGAGGTCTCGGAGGCGTGCGTGTGTCCCCCTGCTACGCAGTGCCCCACAAGAGCCCATGAAACTGGCATCGGTTGCGCAATTCGCTGTCCCCCAGGGAGCTGCGAGGTCTCGGCTGGGTGCCGTACCCCCTCTCCGCCGTGCCTCCCAGGAGCCCACGAAAGTGGCGACGGTTGCGCAGTTCGTAGCCCCACAAGGAGCTGCGAGGTCCCGGCTGGGTGCGCGCATTCCCCTGTTCCGCCGTGCCACCCAGCAGCCCACGAAAGTGGCGACAATAGCGCAACTCGCCACCACCCAGGGAGCTGCGAGGTATCGGCTTGGCGCGCGTACGCCGCTATTCCGCTGGACCTCCCAGGAGCCCACGAAAGTGGCGGCAATGGCGCAATTCGCAGTCTCCCAGGGAGCTGCGAGGTCTCGGTGGGTGCGCGTGCTCCCCTACTCCGCCGTGCCTCCCAGGAAGCCACAGCTGCGCAGATCGCAGCCACCCATAGAGCAGCGCAGGAGGAGGCAGGAGGAGACAGGAGGAGGAAAAGGACTGGATACCACAGGGCTCTATTCAAAACGAGAACCCAACACTGGAGGGTTGGGACAAAATATTATGCGGTGCATACCGGCTGCTGCTACCATCGCCTTCTCAAGCCTTCGGCCCCCACGTTTCGATGCAACGGATAAGCTCTCCTGCACCACATTCCCGATCTAAACCCACCTCGCCAGGGATATCCCCGATATCACAGACTCGCGACTTGCAGCCGCCCAGGAATGGCGAGGTCGACGCTAGGTTTACATAAGGCGTCACCCCACTGGACCCCCCAGGAGCTCTCGGACGTGGCGACAGTTTCGCAGTTCGTAGCCTCCCAGCGAGCCCCCAGGCAGGACGGCGAGGTAGAAGGCAGGGTAGCAGGCAGGTAGGAGGGGACTGGAAGAGGGGGCGGAAAGACGAGGTCGCGAGCGCGGTGCTCCATTCAAAACGAAAAACCCAACGCAAGAGGGTTTGGGAAGAATACCATGCGGCGCACACGTGCTGATCTGAATCTCGCTTTCTCTGGCCTTCAACCTTCACGATGATATTCAAATAATACGTTTTTTCCTACATCCCAATCGCACATATGATGACTTCAACATCGCTTTCTGAAGCCTTCCACCTTCACGACCCTGC